CAGTTCAATGCTTAGATTTATGTCGTGAGGATATTGGAAAAAAGTGTAACGTAACAAAAGTTTTAGAGGAAGCAAAGAAAGTGACTTCATATATATAATCACATTTGGACTGTTGATTTGATGAAAAAAGTATACTCACGTTAAGCAGATTCTTCGCCCCGCTCTTAATCGATTCACTACTCATTTCATACAACTTGAGGAGATAACAAGGCAAAAACAAGGGCCGAGAGAAATGTTTAACTCAAAAGTTAGTATTTTTTATAATTAGTTAATATTTAATGATTTTATTAGTTTCAATTTTTAAATAAGTTAAATTATGTTATTGATTTTTTTATTATAAAAATATAGAATTTAGAGAATCAAAATAGGGACAACAAAAATCAAGATCGGCTTACGAAACCAAAAAAATTGTATTAAGAAAAGATTTTTGGAAAAAAAACCATTGATATCATTAAAGTTTACGAACCTCTAGTCAAATTGTTGATGCTTGTGGATTGTGATGAAAACCCAACCATGGGCTTTACTTATGAGGTCGTTGATAGAGCCAAACATGCAATTAATTAAAATTGTCAATATTCCACCGAGTATGAAAGAATTATTGACAATGGCTGGAATTTTATGCATTCCGACTTGCATTCAGTTGGTAAGATAAAATATTTCATATAATTAAGAGTTATTTCCTCAATAATGAATTGAGCATATTCTTATAAACTATGATTAGATTATTTCCTCAATCCTCAATTTTAATTTGGGGTGGAGCATTCTGAGAATGTATTAGCAGGAACATTATAAGGTACAAGATCAATGATTGAAATATTAGAACATTTTATTGATAATCAAATCAAAATGGTTAATCAGGTTAGATTCAAGTATTGTATTTGTAACTTAGTTAAATAATTTGAAATTGAATTATATTTTTTCTTTTTTACTTAAACTTTTATTTATGCAATTGTTACTATTTCAAAGTAAACGCGAGACATTCGGTACTCCACAAGCACAAAGAGCCTGAAATCAAATGAATCCGAGTAAATAGTTAATTAAATTATTTACTTTATATTATTTAATTATATTGTACATTTTGATATTAGTTTGAAATTTAAATAATATTATGCAACTGAGTGATGGATGATATATGACACATTTTAATATTAGTTTGAAATTTAAATAATATTATGCAACTGATTATCAATTTAAGTACTTAGTCAAACAACTTCTGCATCAAATTGTGAACGAAATTGGAGCACATTCAACTATATTCACACCAAATCAAGAAACATGTTGAAGTACAAAAAGCTTGAGACACTAGTGTTTACATATTACAATATGAGGCTTAAAATGAGGCATCAAAAAAGAATGTGCATTGATGATATAAACGCTAGTTACAATCCTATCAGCTTTGATTACATCTTTGAATATTTTGATCCACTATCATAATGGCTTTAGGAGAGAGAGAATCTATTATTAGATGGTGAAAATGTCGATGTGTTGCATGTCGATACCTCAGATGAATAAATGAATATTAATGATCAAACTCAACAACAACATTTATCCCATTCAAGTTTTAGTGCAACGCCAAGTCAAAGTGGTGGACTCGATGTTGGAGATTTAAGTCCAATTGATGACGATAACAGATAGAGTGGTGATGAAGGTGAAATTAGATCTTTTGATTGGTATAGAGTGAAATATGAAGTTCATTCTGGTAGTGGACAGTTTCATGAAAGGTCAGAATTTGGAGGAAATATATCTATTGCATCTAGTAGATAAAGAAATGAATCCAGATCTCAATCTAAAGGAAAAAGGAAATGCACCAAAAAGAGTACTTTTGAAGGTTCTTTTTCCGGTAGGAGATCGACTTCTAGTAACCTTGGGTATAGTGATTCATCTACTAACACTCATGGTTTTTATCCACTAGGGCAATTTTCATATTTTCAACATTCACACAATTATTATCCACCATTTCCTCATTATGGTATGTCATATCAGCCTCAAATGTACCCTCCGCTACCGATGTATCACCCACCTTCATCTCATATGTATCCTCCTCCTCAAATATATCCTCCATCTCAATTATTTGAAAATCAAGGAGAAAATGTTACATTTTTTGGATATATTTTTATACAAAGGCCACATAGATCAAGTAAAGATCACTTTTAAGGTGAAGGATCTTCCTCGTCATTCCACTAATTGGTGAAACTACTACTACCCCATTTTTAATGTATGTTTTACCTACCAAAAGAATCTATTTCTCTATGTCATTTAGTTAATTAATATTTTTTACAATTTTAATTTATTTTATTTGATTGGTTTCAGACTAAAAGAGAGACATTTATAATGAAGAGCCTTGAACATCTTAACATAGTTAGGTTGCATGAATTATATGTTGTTTTAATTATTGTACATCATATTTTTATATTATTGTTTCAATGAAGATTGTTTTCTTACTTTAATTATTGCATGAGGTATGTGTTATTTTTCTTGCTTATAGTGTTTATATATCTATATATATATTTATGTCATTTTCGCTTAGAAAACATTCTAAAAGTCATTAAAAATGATTCCTTACCATTATAATTATAATTATTATGTTTTAGGATAAATATACAAAATTTAAAAAAAAAATCACGACCGTGACACCCGCACTAACCGCAATGACATCCGTTATGTCCACAATTGCGATACACGCGACGAGACCGTAAACGCTATTTAAATACCGCTCTGCATATGTAAGAGGTATGGAGTCCCCAACCAAAGAGTTGAATCGGTGTAGCCCAAAGCTATAGGATGGGGTGTTATGGCCCAACAACTATATGTGTGTATGTATTTGAAGGCTGAGATGAAAAGCCTGAACAATAGGTGTGGGCTCAGAAATGTAGCGATGGAGGAAGCAGACAAATTCGGACGTTGTTTTCCCACAAGATGAAAAGCAGCCAAAGCGCTAATTCTCACGCCTTGAAATGAAAATAGATGGCCATTATCAGACTAGTGTAAACTGTTAGATAAAACTAACTGCAGATTAGTTGGTCAGTTGGGACGGTTTGGCTTTGATATTGAGCTATATATGTTGTTGTGTTTAGAGTGATTGGGCTCATGGAATTATTTTCAGTAATAAAGAAATACTTTTCGTTTTGTGCTTGGCTCTCTTACTTTACTTTTAGTTCTTGAACTGTTATAACTACCAGTTCGTCGTTGGTGATTCTTGATGCATGTACTCCGGTGATCGGAATCTTTCAGCCATTGCCCCCACCATCCTGCTTCCCCAAAACAACACCAACAAATTCCAGTCTGAAGAAACAAAATCACAATATTAGCTGATCGAATATCTGAAGAACTACGCTTTGTCCCTTAACAATCATGGAAACTGATCGAGCAGCTTGCATGGAAAATGTCAAGCGTTTGGTCGTTAAGGTCAGTTTATTTCTTATATCTGATAAGATTTTCCCAATATCATTCATGACTTCAAACTTTGTATGCCAACAAATTTATCATCAAAATAACTATACTATTAGCGTTCTCCTCAAGTTTTGGAGCACTCTTTATCACTGATTCGAAACTACTTGGACGTGCCTCATTCATCTTCTTTGCATATTCCCCTCTCCCTTTCTCTTCTCTGCCACTCTCATTCTCCCTCCATGGATCCTACCAGCTTTTATGACTCATGTATTTGTCAAGGTTTCTGTTTTCTCACCACCCCCCTCCCCCAAAAAAAATTAAACTTTATATTGCTTTTTGTTGTTTTTGATAATGTGGTCTCGATTTGGTGTTTTTGAATAAGAGGGAGGAATTTGATTTATGGATTTTGATTAACACAGGTGGGAACAGCCGTGGTGACTCGACATGATGGGAGATTAGCAGTGGGGAGGCTTGGAGCTTTATGTGAACAGGTAAATAATCAAAGAGTAGAAGGGTACAATGGGAAAGATGAAATTTTGATTTTGATGTTCCATTTAGGATTTTCTCTCTCTAGGAAAGGGATTTTATGGCTAATCAAAGTGTTAATTTTGTTTTGAATGAATTTGTTGCTTGCAGCTTAAGGAACTAAATTCTCAAGGCTATGAGATTGTTTTAGTTACTTCAGGTGCTGTTGGTCTTGGTCGTCAAAGGCTTAGATACAGGAAATTGGTTAATAGCAGGTTCCATTCCTTCAAAACCCTTTTTTCATTTTTTTTCCTTTTTGTGTCAGGAACACTGATCAATTATTGCATTTTCAGAGACTTTGAATTAAAAAGATTTGATCTTCGTGTCGTAGCTTGGCTGACCTTCAAAGTTCACCAGTTGAACTTGATGACAAGGCTTGTGCTGCTGTCGGTCAGAGTAGCTTAATGGCTCTTTATGACACTTTGTTTAGCCAGGTGAAAATGAATAGGTCTCTAGATTTATTTTATTCTGCATTTAGCAGCCTATTGATTTCTTTTCTTTTCTTTTTCTTTATGTTTCACGTGCTTTAATGTGCAACTCAAATCTTTATGCAGCTTGATGTTACTTCTTCACAACATCTTGTAACGGATACTGATTTTAGGAATGATAGCTTCAGAACGCAACTCTCTGAACAGTGAAATCATTATTAGCGATAAAAGTTGTTCCTGTTTTCAATGAGAATGATGCAGTCAGCACTCGAAGAGCACCTTACGAGGTACACAATTCCTTTCCCCCTAGTTTGAATCATTCTTTGTTGTTCATTCTCTTATAACCAAGAATGTTAGTGTTCCAACATATTTTTGCATTCGTCATATCTAGGATATTAATGCGGCCCTTTAGAGCTAAGGTGTTATGAACTGAGGAGAATAGAGAAGGAAAAATCGAAGAACTGAAGGTTTTAGAAAAGAAAAGCAGAGAGATTTCAGAAATCAGAATTCATTCATTCATCAGGTATCTTTCTCATTCCTTAGTACACAGTTTTTATTTGATTACAATGTACTATAGCAAATAAGAAGAGGACAACTGTATAACTAATTCTCTAACAAACTCCTTGCAGTTGGATATTTTCCTCCTTTGGGCTGTTGACTGGATCCACGTCTGAGCCCATCTCCTCTGCCCAACTCTTCTTCTGCTGCAGCTCCAGGTAATTTCCTCCAGCCCTCTCATTAGAGATTGAAATCCCTAATTCCCTTATCTCATTTCTCTCAATCCCTCCCCTAATTCCCTCGCTTCAATTCTAATCTCCTCATCCTGGTCTTCTCTTACAATCGTGACAATACCCCCTCCATCAGCAGATCCTTGTCCCCAAGGATCGAATTCAGGAAACTGGGCACGCAAGACTGTATAATCTTCCCAGGTATCGTTTTCAGCACTTAAATTCGTCCAACGAACCAATAATTCAGTAACAACACGGTTATCTCGTTTGATAATTTTTTTGCTTAAAATTTTCTCAGGAAATACTTTCAGTTGCCCATCATCTATTACCTGAGGAGGGTCTGATGAAGCCACTGTCTTCTCTCCCAGTTTCCGCTTCAAGAGACTGACATGGAAAACAGGATGTATTTGAGCAGTTTTTTGTAAGTCCAATTTTATAAGCAACCTCACCAATCTTTTCGAGAATTTTGTAAGGGCCATAAAAACGGGCTGCTAACTTCAAGTTTTTTCTGATTGCCAGGGAAGTCTGCCGATATGGTTGCAGTTTCAGGTACACCTCTTCTCCCACATCAAATATTCGTTCACTGTGATTTTTATCAGCTTGTTGTTTCATACGGTTCTGGGCTTGTTGTAACTGGCTCTCTGTCTTGTAATAATGTCTGAACACTGTTGACATTAGATTCAGAATACCATAACATTGTAGGGGGTTTATATCCATAGAGTGCCTCAAAAGGGGTAATTTTAAGTGTTGTATGATAGTTTGTATTGTACCACCATTCAGCATGAGGTAACCATCTTTCCCATTGAGTAGGTTTTACGAAACACAGACCCCTTAAGTACTGCTCAAGACATTGATTCACTCTCTCAGTTTGACCATCCGTCTCAGGATGGTAAGTTGTGCTAAAGAGTGTGCTGGTTCCCAACTGCTTCATTAGTTCTTTCTAAAAAAGACTAGTGAAGGTCTTTTCACGATCTGAAATGGCCATCTTAGGCTGACCATGAAGCTTATAAATCTGATGTAAATATAATTTAGTTACTTCCATCACAGTATAGGGATGAGAAAGTGCTAAAAAATGAGCATATTTAGTCAGTTTATCCATTACTACTAAAATGCAATTCTTATGCAAAGAATTAGGTAAACCACCAATAAAATCCATAATTATCACCTCCCATGCTTATTGAGGAATTGAAATTGATTGTAGCAGCCCAGGTTTAGCCACATGCTCCACCTTAGTGCGTTGGCAGACTTCACATTTTTGTACATAATTAGAGACCATGCTTTTAAGCTTAGGCCAATAAAAATAAGATTTCACCCGCTGACATGTAGCTTGAATACCCGAATGCCCAAAATGAGGAGAGTCATGTAAAATCTGTAGTATCTTCAATCGTAAAGCACCAGACTGTCCGACATAAACTCTGTTTTTGTAACGCAACACCCCCTTTGAATACTTCCAATTTGGAACATTAGCAGTGTTAATAGTTACTGCTCGAATGTATTCTTTAGCATCAACATCATTTTCATAGCTTTGTTCAATGTCCTTAACCCAAGTCGGAATTATAATCATGGCACCCATCTTTTGACACTCACCCACCTACACAAATTGTCTTGACAAAGCATCAGCCACAACATTAGTACGCCCTTTTCTATATTGAATTGTTTAGTCCAAACCCAACAATTTAGTCAATCCTTTCTTCTGAATTGTTGTTGTGAGTTTCTGCTCTAACAAATATTTCAAAGGCTTGTGGTCTGTTTTAATGATAAACGGACCACACTCAAGATAATATCGCCATTTCGAAACTGTCAACAAAATAGCCAAATATTCCTTCTCATAGATAGAAAGGTCCATGTTTTTAGGGCTTAAAGCTTTGCTAAGGTAAGCCAAAGGACGACCTCCTTGGGATAAAACAACCTCTATACCTTATGAGCTTGCATCAGTTTCTAAACAAAATTCTTTAGTGAAATCAGGAAGAGCCAAAACTGGAGCCTTACACAATACTTCCTTCAATTGATTAAAGGCTGTCAATGCTGTAGGAGTCCATGTAAAACCATCCTTTTTAACATCATTGTAAGTGGCTGACTAAGTGCACCATAGCCTTTGATGAACCTTCTATAATAGCATGTTAGCCCCAAAAATCCCCTAAGAGATTTTAAGTTTTGAGGAATTGGCAAATTTTTCATGGCAACAATTTTTGATGGATCAGTGGAAACCCCTTGAGCATTAATAATATGGCCTAAATATTCCACTTGTGGTTGGCCAAAGTAACATTTACTCTTCTTAGCATATAGCTGATGTTGAGTCAATATTTCCAAAACTTTTCTCAAGTGTAGTGCATGAGCAGACAATGTAGTGTTGTACACTAATATATCATCAAGAAATACCAGAACAAACTTTCTCAAATAGGGAGTGAACAGATCATTCATAAGAGATTGAAATGTAGCAGGTGCATTAGTTAGAGCAAAGGGCATTAGCTTGAATTCAAAATGTCCATGATGAGTGCGAAAGGCAGTTTTGTAGATGTCTGTAGGCTGAATTCGAATCTTCCAGTAGCCAGACCTTAAGTCAAACTTAGAAAAATAGGTTGCTCCATGTAATTCTTCTAATAAGTCCTCCACCACTAGTATTGGAAACTTATTTTTTACTGTCTGATTGTTTAATTGTCTATAATCGATGCAAAATCTCCAAGAACCATCATTTTTCTTAACAAGTAAGCAAGGTGAGGCAAAAGGGCTCTTGCTTGCTTGAATGACAGAAGCTGCTAGCATATCAGAAATTTGTCTTTCCATCTTTGCTTTTTGATGATGTGGAAATCTGTAAGGCCGCAAATTGACCGGGGCTGCACCCGGTTTAAGTATAATTGAATGGTCGTGTACTCGTTTAGGAGGTAATCCTTTAGGTTCATCAAAAACTCCTGCAAATTTTGCTAATAATGGTTGTAGCTCATGAGGTACCTGCTACTCATCAGTTTCCATAGTTAGGAAATAAATTTCTCCCAATAAATCTGGATCCTTGGCAGTAATCTTTTTGCATTTTGTCATTAGAAACTATTTTCATAAGGAATGGTGTTTGATGTCCTTGAATAGATAATTGTTGTCCCTCCTTCTCAAAAGTAATAGTCATGGCATTAAAATCCATAAGGATTGGATTATATTTGCGCATCCAATCAACTTCAAGAACCATATCACTGCCTCCTAGATTAAGTACCCGAAAATCATGAAAAATTGATGGCCTTGCATAATCCAACATAATTGATTGCTCTTAGCGGAACTGAATAATTTCTCACCATTAACAACTGTAATGGCTAGTGGTTGAGTTGAAACTAACTCAATACCAGCTTTAGCCCACTTAGGAGTGATAAAGCTGTGTGTGTTGCCACTGTCAATAAGAATATTGGGAGGTTTGGCTTTGACAAAGCATTGAATTCTAATTGTAGTATACCCAATGCTACCTGTGAGAGCATTGACTGAAATTTCCAGATTCTCATCTTTATCATTTGAATCTCCCAAAACCTCTTCTGTTATGACTGCATCTTCCTGGTTATCCAATTCCTCCATAGCATTCAATTGTCTTAACTTGCATTGGTGGCCTGGTTGAAATCGTTCACCACATTTGTAACACAAATTATTCAATCTGCGATACTCCAGCAAACTGTTCTTATTAGGAGGATTTGGTAGAACTTTCTGTGTTGTTGGAATAGCAGCAGGTTTGTTAAAATTTGTTTGGGTGGGATAGGGTGGGAATCTTGAATTTTGTTTCTGTCTTTTGCTTTCAAACTCCATTAAAATCTCATATAATTTCGCCTGCCTACAAGCTTTAGTTACTTCTTTAGGGTTGAGAGCTTTGACCCTATGTTTCAACTCCTCCTTCAATCCACTTATGAAAATGGATACAAAAAATTCCTCCCCCAAGGTTGGATCTGCATTAGAATGAAAGGTTTCAGCTCTTCAAACCTCATTTGGTATTCTTCCACTGTTCCTTTTTGAATTAGCTTACTAAATTCATCTATGACATCTGCATACTGCATATCACTAAATCGATGACATAAGTCTGCTTCGAACTCATGCCAATGTACTCGATTTTTTTGCATGATATAACCATCAAACCATGATTCAATTTTTCCCTCTAAATACATTGTAGCTAACTCAACTCTTTGCTCTTCAGGAATTCCAAAGAGGTGAAAGAACTTATGACATTTTTGCACCCAACCCCTTGGATTAGTTCCATCAAAATTCTTTAGCTCTACTTTAGGCCTAGGAAGTATAAATCCAGTGTTTCCTACTGCCCCTCCCTGAACCATTTTGGCCCCATTATTATCCTTTGTTTGATTTTCCATCCTCATATTTGATTGATCCATTTACGACTCATAGGGTTTAGATTTGAGGATACTTGGTTCATCCATATTGTACGAGAATATGGACTTATCATTAATCACTGTCACCATCACCTGTTTCTTTCCATCAACCTTAGTTTGAGTAGGCGTAGCAATCTGCTCCTTTTCTGAGTTTGTCATGTCTTGCTCATCGTTCCTCCCCGTTAATATTTGTAGGACTTGTTCTATATAGGCTTGATTGGCGTTCATCTTCGATTCCAGATTGTTTAGACGGTTGTTTTGCTCCTCCCACCATTTTGGAGGTTTTGTTTCATCACTGGCTTGTTCTACCCTTTTTGATAAATCTTCAATCTGCTGTTGAATGGCAGTAAGTTCAGCCGACTCTGCCATAACTTGATTCTTTTTCTGTTTTCCCAGTTTGCTAATGCCAGGAAATTAGGCTCTGTATACAAATTGTTATGAACTGAGGAGAATAGAGAAGGAAAAATAGAAGAACTGAAGGTTTTAGAAAAGAAAAGCAGAGAGATTTCAGAAATCAGAATTCATTCATCAGGTATCTTTCTCATTCCTTAGTACACAGTTTTTATTTGATTACAATGTACTATTGCAAATAAGAAGAGGACACCTGTATAACTAATTCTCTAACAAACTCCTTGCAGTTGGATATTTTCCTCCTTTGGGCTGTTGACTGGATCCACGTTTGAGCCCATCTCCTCTGCCCAACTCTTCTTCTGCTGCAGCTTCAGGTAATTTCCTTCAGCCCTCTCATTAGAGATTGAAATCCCTAATCCCTTTATCTATTTTCTCTCAATCCCTAATTCCTCGTCCATTTCCCCCAATTCCCTCTCTTCAATTCTAATCTCCTAGTCCTGGTCTTCTCTTGCAATCGTGACATAAGGCCTTCAAGTTCAAGCTTCATCCTTTTTTCTTAGTTCTATTCTTTCTTTCAGTCTACTTATTTTGTTTCTGACAAATTGATTGGAAGTGTTATTTCAGGTTTCTTCTGGGATAATGACAGTTTGGTTGGTCTCTTAGCTGCGGAAGTAAAAGCTGATCTTCTTGTTTTGTCGAGTGATGTGGAGGGCCTCTACAGTGGACCACCAAGTGACCCGGGCTCAAAGCTGATCCATACATATATACTTATTTTGTCTGTGTTGCTGCCTTTGATATCCAAGTTTGTTCAATTAATTCTTTTGCAGAAGCTCAAATTTCATAAATCATTTTGTTTTAAAGATTACTGCTCTTGCAAAATCTATCCGTGTTATTGCTGACATAGAAGAGCCTATTGGTCGTATTCTAAGGAAAACAGAGGCAAGAAATCCTCAAAAAAAGAAAATTTATGGAGTGTGCCGATTTGCTTTCCCCATCACCATACTAACCATTTACTTTGACTGCCTCTGGTGCAGCTTGCTGTTGGACTCATCTTGGAGAAAACATCTAGTCCTCTATGTGTCCTGCTGATTATATTTGAGTTTTGACCTGATGCCCTTGTTCAGGTAACCGACCATTTACCTTACAAGGTGTTGTGAGATTAATAATATCTTCTGAATTTTTGGCTTTAGTTTCTCTTTCATCTTTAGGGATAATTACCCAACTGGTGTTGGTAGTTCATGGTGTTAAATACTTTTCACCTAATCCTAGGCACACTTAGCCAGATGTCATGTTCATTGCTGTTGAATACCACTGTTTGTCATAGTCCAGTGAGAAATCATCTACTATTTGGCCTTTTATGAAAGCCCGTGTTCTTTATAGTCACATTCCTTCTTTGTACTTCAGAGTCTAGTGCATTATTTTCTCTTGCTAGATGGAACATGGGATATTGAAGTTCAACACTGCTCTATTTGATAATTGCATGAAGAGTTATTGTGTTCTACATGCTCTCTAGCTTTGGTTGCTTTTATTCTTTGTATCTTTGGGTTAAAAGCTTTTTTCGTGATTATTTTACTACCTTTCTTCCCTTATGGTTCAACAGATAGCTTCACTAACCATTCGAACTATTTTTCTCCTCGAAATGATTTCTTCTTATATATTATCAGAACATTACTTCAGTCATGCAGGAGAGCATTGGAGACAGACTTATTGGACTTGTCGCTTCAAGAGAGGATATTCTTGATTTGCTTAAGGTGAGCTGCAGGATTTTGAGTTCATCACAGATTTTTGATTCGTGATGGTTTTTAAGTGATTCTATTTTGCCACAGCTCGACGATGTGATAGATCTTGTGATCCCCAGAGGCAGCAATAGTCTTGTTTCTCTAATTAAGAGTTCGATGAAAATTCCTGTTCTTGGCCATGCTGGTAAGAAAAATATTTTGGATCTTTGACGCACTACAAAGTAGAGCTTCAAACTGAACTCTCAACTTTTCATTGCAGATGGAGTTTGTCATGTTTATGTTGACAAGTCAGCTAATGAGGATATGGCCAAAAAAGTTGTTCTGAATGCAAAGATAGATTATCCTGCAGCATGCAACACAATGGTAATTTCATTTTTTACACAAAATTTCTGCTTCTGTTCCTATAGTTAGACGGCATATTTCATGCATATGCCTTTCTGTTTCATGCTATAATTTTATCCTGCACAATTCTCTTATTTCTTGATGTAGTTTGTTTATTTGAAGTTTCTTAACTATGCTGTGTTCAGGAAACGCTTCTAGTCCACCAGGATTTGTCAAATACAGGATTGCTCAATGAGCTTCTTGCGGAACTCCGACTTGAAGGTATGCTTATATGAATGGCTTTTTAACTAACCTAGTGCATTCAAATTATACATCACTTTACAGTTTTTTAATATGCTAATCCGATTGATTTGGCGGTATTCATGGCATTGTTTTTACATGATCATGTAAAACCTGTTCTGTTAAATGTAGGTGTTACGCTTTATGGTGGGCCAAGAGCGAGTTCCTTGTTAAAACTTCCCGAGGCACAATCATTACATCATGAGTATAGCTCACTGGCTTGCACAGTTGAAATTGTGGATGATGTGGAGGCTGTCATTGACCACATACACAGGCATGGAAGGCATGCCATGTCTCTTGAATTCTTTTTTGTTTACTTTCCGTTGCTTTATGTATGTCATTGAGTTGTTAGCTTCCGTTCTCTGAATTTCAAATAACTTGCTTTTTCTGCAGTTCTCACACCGACTGCATTCTCACTGAAGATAGAAAAGTTGCTGAAACATTTTTGCACAGAGTAGACTGGTATGCCTACATCTAGGCTGAAGTTATTCATAAAGTAATGGCTCATTTCTTTTGCTTGTCATGTTTGAGTGCATAGAAGCAATAAGTTGTTGATGTCGGTGCTATTGCAATTCACCGTCCGTTTTTGTTATAGCGCCACAGTATTTCATAATGCAAGCACACGATTCTGCGGTGGGGCAAGATTCGGACTTGGTGCTGAGGTAATCAATCAATCTCCCGAAATTTCTTGTGTTGGACATTTTCTGAAGTGTTTCTATTTTGAAGCATGGGTTTTAACAGGTTGGAGTAAGTACAAGCAGGATCCATGCCCGAGGTCCAGTGGGAGTTGAAGGATTTTTAACAACTCGATGGTATTGATCTCAACTTCCACTAACTCGATGTTGTTTATGATTAAAATATGCTCGTGTATAGTAGATGTTGTAACAAGAAGATGGGTGTTGAAAATGTAGGATATTGAGTGGTAGTGGGCAGGTGGTGAAGGGTGACAAAGGGGTTGTTTACAGCCACAAGGATCTTCCTCTGCAAACACAAGTATAATCTGCTCCAATCCAACCCTGAGAGATGAAATGAAATGTTTTTGTTTCTTTTCCTTGGTTCTCTCTATTATCTTCTATATTTTGTAATATAGAACAGCAGCAGTGCTCATGTGTCTGCGCATTTTCTGCCTTCCTGTTGTGTTTCCGGATTTTTTGTCCGGATCATGCTTGGCACAGAACACTGTACAATTCTCCCTCATCAGATTTAATGGATATGTTGGTAATTCAAACAAGTATTATCATATATTAGTTGGTTGTTGGTTCTTCCAAATATGCTCACAATTCATATGTAATGAACAGACTAAGCAAATATGCTCACAATTCAAATATTGATGAGCTATTCTTTTCCAGCAAAACACAAACGGAGAAACCTGGGGTTACTGAAGGATTCTTATTATAATGAGTTAAAATTACACAAAAGAAATTAAAAGAAAAGTTTAGAGCGGAGGGGTGGATTGTCTACATGACTATATCCCAAGAATTTTCAATGAACATGGAAGAAAATTATACATAAAGAGAGAAAAACAGTGATCAAATCAAACACTTGCTATATTTCCTCAGATTTCACCATCCCAGAGTTCTTCCATAGTCCTATATGCACCGTAGGACTCGTGCACGAATGATTCGCCTTTTATTAACTTCTCCTGAATCTCACAACAACGTAGGAATCATCAAAAGACTTGTTCAGATAAAATTCTGTAATTCTTACAATATGCAACATAAAACAAATGAAACTGTTACTACATGCCTGTTCAATAAGAGAAAACCTTGGAAGCAACTCTTGAGGTATAGACCAGTTAATTACATCAAGGTTTTCCTTCAACCTCGCCTCACTTATGCTCTTCGGAAGTACGCTATGACCCATTTGTAGTCCCCAACGTAGCGCCACTTGCGCTGCCGATTTCCCTACTTCCTGTGCCACCCATTTAACAAAAGGATTGTCCAACACCTTCTTCCTCACATTCTCTCCGGCTTGAGAACCCAATGGTGAATACCCCTAACATCGAAGACATTAGTAACTCAAGGCTCAAAATAAGACGAACATAAGGCAGGGGGCCAGTTTCGTACCGACAAGTGAATCCCCTTGGAATCACAAAATTCATGCAGCTGTGGCTGCTGCCATACAGGGTGAAGCTCCACCTGATTGACTGCAGGAGTTATACGTGCCACTTCCAATAGATCCCGGAGCTTATTTGCTGAGAAATTACTCACTCCAATAGCCTTAGCCTTACCGGAATCATAGAGTGCCTCCATTGCTCCCCATGTCGCAGGGATGTCTGGTTGCGTAAGATTTTCTCCCTTCACAACCATTGCTCCCCTTTTTGCACTCACGGGCCAATGTATCTTCAACATTCATCACAATTAGCAACCATAATTTTACCTTTCTTCGCTTAAATTCTATATGCACAAATTTATGTGTTAGACATACTAGATAGAGATCGACATAGTCCAGTTGCAAATCCTGCAGAGTTTTATTCAATGCCTTTGGTACATCTTCAGGCAAGTGATCAGTACACCTAAAAATCCAATGTAATGCCAAATGATCAAATTATGGTAGGACTAAAGCTATAAAAGAAAGCATAGCAGAGGGACCTTTTATAGAATTTGACCAATAAAAATGGCTTAAAACAAGCTCACAAACCAGAGTTTTGAGGTGACCCATACGTCCTGACGTCTCACCATACCCTCGTTAAACACTTTTTTGAGAGCAGAACCAATCTGAATTGAAACACAGACACAAAACAATTTGTTAGTACGAGAATGTTTTCGAGACACCCACACAAAGCACAGACAATGCTGGATTTATGTAAAAACATCACCTCTTTCTCATTGTTGTACATTGAAGCACAATCAATATGTCTATATCCAACCTGAATTAAAAAAAAGAAGATAATTCAATTGAAAACCGTGGAAGAAAAACACAAAAAGAGACGAGAGAAAGAAGAAAGAAACCTTGATGGCAGTAGTGACAGTGTTTTGGATAACACCATGTTTGGCACCGTAAGTACCTAATCCGACAGAAGGGATCTTAGCTCCTGTGTTTAGTTCAAAGAATTTGATCCCATTTTCTGCCATTTCTCTACCAAATGTTGTTGTTGTTGTTGAAGAGAGATGACGCAAACACAGCAATTCCAAATGTTTCAAATTACAACTGTCCAACACCTTTGGGGTTGTTTGTTTTTTCTTTACTATTTTTTTCTAGGGAAGGTTTGACACTTGTCGAGACTGCATTGGGGTTTTAATTGTTCGTTAGGGTTTTCAGATGGAAAGTGGGAACTATACCCAAGTGGCTAATACGGGTGTTATCCATTCACGTGAAATCTTTAACACACATGCACAACAACCGACTCAAGATCAAACATCAACTTTATATATATAAGTTTATTAAATATTTAAACTCAACATTTAAGGAAGAAGGTCTAATTTATTTAACATTTGAGACATAAATGGTTAGACTTAAATATTTTCAACATTTAATCAAGTGATTTTTTTAAATTACTGGTATTTGATTAATTAATTAATTTGAATTAGATGTTTTAAAAATTCACTATAAGATGACTCTTTCAATTCAACCTAGTTTGTTTTATTTATAATGTCATAGATCGAATCTCTAACCTTACTTGAGGGTCTAAAGCCTCATCATACTAGATCAATTGATTATTAGTAATCATGCTTTGGACTATCAGATTGGATTTGTATACGCGGTTTGCATTCGACGATATTTTTCTCACGACACTCGACTATGATTTGTGGTTTTCGATGATCTTTAAATAGTTTGATCCCCTATTATGGTTCGTTTTCCAATACAATCAGATTTGTTTGTATCTATCTTATGCATGAGTTTTTTTGGATGAATTTTAACTTTTTCTTTGTATGGTCCTTATATGATCTCAAGTGACTAATTTCTTGTGTTAATGGTTATAGAGATATCTTCTAATTATATGTTCATTGTAATGTTAGAAAAAAATCATCTCGGATAATCTCGGGGATCTGAGCGAAACTAAAAAATAGGTCCATATAAAATAAAAGTATGTTCTATTACTTTGAATGATTAATTTAGTATTAAATTAATAAATCATAGAAAATGATTAAATTAGGGTCTCAATTATAAAGGTAAAGAGTGAGATTAAAAAAATTAAGGGCCTCAATTATAAAGGTAATTAAAAAAATAGGGGTCTCAATTATAAAGGTAGAAAGTGAGATTGAAAATTAGGAGCCTCAATTATAAAGGTAAAAAGTACGACTGAAAAAATTAGGGATTTCAATTATAAAGGTAAAAGTGAGATTAAGAGAATTAGGGCCTCAATTATAAAGATAAAAATTAGGGGCATCAATTAAGAGTTTCAATTATAAAAGTAAAAAGTGAGATTACAAAAATTAGGGGCATCAATTATAAAGATCCAAAAAAAATAAAGACCTCAATTATAAAGATAAAAAGTATGATTGAAAAATTAGATATTATCTTTTTTCCTAATAAAACTAATGGTTTCTATTTTCATTTTAAAAAAATCATAAAACTTAGTCAATAAAATGATTAATTGTTTGGTTTAATATCGTTGCATAAGCAACCATTGGGTGTTATTGTTTAGGGTAAATTACATGTTTAGAATCTAAATTATTATTTTTATTCTGTTTTAGTATTTAAACTTTATTTTTTAAATTATATTTAACACTTAGTTTAGATTTCATTTTGATACCCCACCGTTAAAAACTTAACAGTGATGTTGACATGTCGTCATAAGATAATATCACATCATCATTGAAAAAATGTTACGTCAATAGTTCTGTTAATTTTTCAGCAATAGAGTACCAAATTGAAATCTAAACTAAACATTAAATATGTTTTAATAAAAAATAAAATTTAAATACTAAAATAGAACAATAACCCTTAGATTAAACAAATTCATGGTAAATGAACGAATTTAACCCCTTTTATTTTTTAATAGTGTTTTTATACTTTTTATTATTACTAATGTTTAAAGTTGAAATATGTCAATATTTAATATTATTTTAAATATTAAAAATAGTCTTTGAATTAAATATTTATATTAAATGTAGTAGATGGGAGTCGAACAGAAAAACTGAAATAATATAATATAATTGGTGCAAGATGAAGAGAGAAGGCGGTTGAATGAATGTCGGTATAAGTTTTGATTGTGGCTCGTGAAGGGAGCTTGTTTCCATGCAAATATACTCTTAGCTGTCATAATAATACTAAACAAATTAATCTGGATTTTCTTCCTCGATATTCTCTCTTTCCTTTTTAAACAATAATTTGGTATTTGCAACCCACACATGTTCTGGCTGACACTCTCATCAGCCCCACTCTGACCCACACTCTAGGCTGTATTGTAGTTTACCAGACCCTCAGTACCCTTTGTTGTTGTTATCAAGCAATGGCGAAACCCCAATGAAGACAAAACCCAACCAATCGCCTTTAAAACCCTTCTTACACCCATATAGAAATTGGTCGAAGCCAAAGCCAGCCATCTCACTTTCCTCTCTTTTCACCATCACATGCATCGTCCACATGCAAAAAGGCCCTGAATCTCATTAAAACAACCTTCAACGCTTTACCTCTTTAATGGAAACTAATTTGTCCTCTATCCCTTTATATACCTTTGGTATACTCATTCTCTTAGCTTTATAGTTATAGCCCCACGCTTCCCCTCTAAAACCTATCCAAAACTCAAGCTCTTGTTGTTCCATCAAGCTTCAGATTTTGAGTAAATACCTAAACCCCTAGGCCTCCGGGATTTTAACTCTCTCGTCTTGTGCAATAAACAAGAGTGTGTGTGTTTGTTAAGAGATTAGACAATGGAACAAAAGATGCGTAGATAGAGGATATAGGTGGTGGCATAATATTCTCTTCAATAATTAAACAAATAAATAAAAGCACATTGTAATATCATTTTACAATACTTAAATGTAATGATTCTCGGACCTGGTGGCAAATTTGGAAGGATTATAAAGAGGAGAGAGAGAGAGAGAAATATAAACAACTAGATCAAATTATGTGAGATCTTAAGATAAATATATAATATGATAATAGCTAGTAGAAGAGAAGAGGAAAAGGGAATGCATGTTACCATGCATCTGACCTTATTCATATGGCTTTGAATTGGAATATCCATCTCATCTACTTAGACAAGTGTTGCGTTTTTGTGTGTTTAGTTTTGTAAATTGCTTGTGGAATGTCAGTGTGTGATGGGAAAAAGAGCTTATCAGTCATCACGACGTTCCATGCAGTTTTTTTTTGCAGGCAGCCCTTCTCTCACTAGCTGTCTAACGTTTACATTCATTTTTGTCAAAACCCACACAAATATATCAAAAACATTCCATCCTATTACTGAATTTGCAACATGCAACTGATATATACAGCTGTGTACCTTTTAGTTTACAGAATCATGCCTTGGCACATGAAGCAGATTGTCTTAATCCAAATCAGAATAGATGATAGAAGCTAATGTCAATGAATATACATTCACGTGTTGTTTCAATGAAGACAAACCCTAGAAAATCAAACCAAGGCCTGCAACTTTCTATGGAAAAGACAGGCATAGTTATTATCGACCTTTGAATTTCTTTTGCGTCTATCTACAATACCGTCAAAACTGATCCAAAGAGCAAGCTAATTCAATCATATCCATGGTGATGATATAAAGTATTATCTATAATAAGAAGAGAGTGTTTTTAATCCTTCATTTTTCAATTATATATTACTTTTGTTACACCATGAGAGAGTAATTATTCAAACTCAAAGCAAGGATGTGTTGACACATGAGGTTACACGTACAGACAACATTATGATCATTGTAGAAAGGACCACATTGAAGTATGGTCTTGTGATGAAACTACCTTAACTTGGGTCGACGACCAAGCCTTAGCTCAAGATCTATGTCGTCCTCAGCTGAAATCGGTTTGAGGAACAAGGCTAAGGTCATGGGTGTATGATGATCACCGGTTCTCTTTCTCTTGCACCCGACGGTGTTGTCTTGTGTACTGCCAGACGTAGCGGGGCGTGTTTCTCGAACAACTAGATTCAAGCTTGCGGACAAATCAGTAGTTTGGACATAATCTGCTTTAACCCTACATTCAGATTCTAGGATTCTTGGACTCTTGTCTCCTTCATCAGCCCTTAGATCAGAGAAATGGTAATATCTGTCAGCTGCCAAGTTTGACAATGATTTTGGGGACTTGTTGGGGCTTTCTTGGACCATTGGTGAAGAGAAAGGAGGAACTAAAGTTGGTTCAAGACAATTCTCTTTAGTAGGTGGAAGATGAGTTCCATGATTGGAATTAGGGCTAGGGTTATAAACAAAGTTACAAACCTCATCAGGCTGGCACTGAAAACCCAAAGGTACAAAGGGATTCTGAATTTTATTCTGATGATTTTGATGATCATCATCGTGGGGATCACCAGGGGGGGATTGCTGTAGCCTAGCTCTATCTCTCCTGTGGACATTCATGTGACCTCCTAGAGCTTGAGCCGATCTAAACTCTCGCCCACAAAAGCTGCAAGAGTAAGACCTCGGAGGCCATATACATCCTCCGAGAGGCCCAGCTGCATCTTCTGCAAAAGCTTGCTCTTCCCATGAATCATAATACGCAGCCACGCTTGTTGATGATTGAAGATGATCATGAGAACTCAAACCATCTGATCTCCCCTTTGTCCACGTCCAATACCTTGATTGCTCCATTGCACCTTTCGATAGAAAAACGCTGAAATCAACAGCTTAAACGAGGAGGGATGATTGGACTAAGAGAAAGAGTGAAAGAAAAGTTTAAATCAAATCCAAAAGATGAGCTAAAAGAGCTACATATTAGAATCTAAATTTCTTAGGGGAAGATGATTTTAATCGCATATAAGAAGCTATGGTTGTTTTCTTCGGGAGGAGGAATGTCTTACAAAACTACAAGTGTGGGTCCTGAATGGTGGAGTTACTTCTGGGATGTATGTAGCTGCTTACAGACAAACTGTGAGTCTCTGACTCAAATCCAACCTACAAACTTAGCAAGAGAGATGGCACATACATGTCTTCTTTGGACACTATATTATCATTCCTTTATTTTTCCTATTATCTTAGATAGCTATCATCAATTAATTACTTTTAACTATTAATGAGAGAGTAAATTTGATATCAAAGTTAATATTTTTTTCTGAACAAAGTTAATATTTACTTTTAAATATTTATTATTCCAACGTATACAATTTATCACTACCTCTAAGGATGGAGTTACGATCAAATGTTGAGAGGGACAAAATTACTTTATATCAAAAGAATAAGGATCTATTAAGTATTTAAATATAAAAATTGAGAGGAACAAAGACATTATTTGACTAATATTTAAATTAAAAAGACCTAAAATGCTATTATAACAAAAAATTTGGGAGGGGTTGTAAGTATTATCATTCCTTTATTTTTCCTATTATCTTATATAGCTATCATCAATTCAATTACTCTTAACTATTAATGAGAGTAAATTTGATATCAAAGTTAATATTAACTTTTAGATATTTATAATTCCAACCTATACAATTTATCACTACCTCCATGAACGGAGTTACGATCAAATGCTGAGAGGGGTAAAATTGTTTTATACCAAAAGAATAAAGATCTATTAAGTATTTAAATCTAAAAATTGGAAGGGACAATGGTTTATTGATTAATGATCTCCATCATTGAAGGAACCTTTTTGTACAAAAATAAAATGTTGAGGATCAAAATACTTCTAAAAAAAAGAATAGGAGCCAAAATAACTAATTAATCAAACATTAGAGACATTTTCTGTCATTATTCCAAGTTAATATTAACTCTTAAATAATTATTATTTGAACATAAATTTGAAGATAATTTATTTGTCTTTATAAAAATTCTTTTATTTTCAATTATTAATCTCATTCATTCAATAATTCAAAAAACACGGAAAAGTTTTAAAAAAATTACACTATATCAACGAGTACTCTAAATTTGATAGCTTTAAAAGTTGTTACAGCCCATTTGATATTAATTAATTAGTTAGTAGAATCGTCTAATTCCAAAAGATAAGACAAAAAAGAAAGGAAGATTAAGAACTTATAATTATATTTAGATTAGAGCATGGAAACAGACGATTTGTTTTAGGTAAACAATATGACACTGATGACCACATACATAATAAAAACAGTACCTCTCTTATTTAAAAACAAGTTAATTAATTAGATAATTTTAGTTGCAACTAGCTAGTAACTTAATTAATAAAACCAACATTAACCACTATTAGTTAATTAATTATTATATTTGACAAGTACGTGGCTATGCCACCCTCAATTTACTCCGTAAATATAAATTAACCGACCCTATTTTCATATGTAATGGGGTAAGAGGAGGTAGGATAGTAGGATGCCTCCAACGCTAGGTTGAGAGCAACTTCCGTGGAAGACCTCCGGCAATTATGAATTGCCCATCGTGGGACTCGATCTCACGACCACAAGGTTAAGAGCCTTGCGCTCTACCAACTGAGCTGGACGGACAATTCTTACTCCATAAATATAGTTCTGAGTTTTTCATCTTCTTACTTCTCACGCTAAAGGTTATACAGTTTTTGTTTTTATTTTTATTTTAAAGATAATAATATTTTTTTGAAAGAGAGTACTTTGTATAATAACTTAGTCGGTTTGAGAATGTTTTTAGTAATGGAAATATGATTTTTCTTCCTCCATGACCAATGTTAAACACCCAAAAGTTGATTTAAAATCATGGTTAAAAAAGTGATTTTCAACTTAACCTCAAAAGTTCAAATTTCTATTTTTGTGGTGAAAAATCACTTTTGGATGAAATTAAAATTTTATTCTTAAATATTATATTTTCATTTTACAATATAATGTCTAAAATAGATGTTTTATTTTTTCAAAATCACTTTTTAATAACAATCTCAAACAGTTAAATTTTAAACTGCAATTTTCAATAACACTTTTAAAAGTACTCTTTTTACAACACTTTTTTAATCATTTTTCAAAATAATTTTAATTTAAAATTATTTGAGTCAAGTTATTCAAGTTAATTTAAATTTAAATTTAAATTTTGAACTTTGAGTTCGATTCAAATTTGAATCTTACCAATTTGAAAAACTGAAATTAATAATTTAGTCCTTAATTCTCTTATTTCTTCAATTCTTAAAATAGATCAAATTTGATCCACACATACCTAAAATATTGTAGAATATCTGTGTAGCTTAAGTTCCTCTTTCTGAAAATCAATTTTATCTTTTTCACAATTTAGCTCTTCAATTTTACAGGATTTCTTTATTTCTTCAATTACTCCTTCATTTAAGTCTATTTTAACCAAATTTGAATTACATGATCCACTAACACTATGAACTACATATGAATTTCATGTTATACTATAAACTACATATGAATATAAATTCAATTATTTGTGTTCTTTTTTTCCAATTTAGTCCTATTTATTCAATTTGATCTTTTTGTTGGCTTTTTTTTTATAAAATAATTCTTCCCACCAATTCATTTAACTCCTTTATACCCTCATCAATAATTTGTCTTCAAAAAATATTTATTTAAAAATAAAATAAGGCTCGTCAACTCGACTAACTCAAATTTTTTTACTCGACTTGACTCGACCAAATATTTATCCTTCATTAAAAACATTATTAAATTGGATAAAAATTTAAATTTATATTTCAGTAATAATTTTATTTTATTTTTAAAAGAAAATATTTTTATAATATATAAATAAATATGTTATACATCTTATGAGATATATCTTTCAAATATCAATGTCTTGATATATTTTACTTACAAGGCATTGATTCAAACATTTGACTACTTTGTTAAATTCTTGTAGAAATAAGTCTAAATTATCTAAATGTTAAAAGATTCGAAAGGAATTTGATTGCAAATCAGTACCCTAACCCACTGTTTGTTAAGAGAGAGAAAGAGGGAATTGTTTTTTTTAATATAGAAAAGGTTTATTATTTTAAATTTATTACTGAAAGGAAATAAAATATTGTTTTTGTGGTGATAAGAACAAACACGGCAAGGAAGACAATGATCTATCAACCTTGAAAAGTTTAATAATGAATAGTTTGTAGCTGTCATCTTTCAGACATGCACTCTATATCAAGCATGTCGTCGCTGAGTCTTCTTCTTCTTCTTCTTCTTCATGGAATTGTCTATATATAATATACATACAAATACAAATAATTAAATACAAATATTTATTAAATATATTAAATACAAATATTTATTAAATATTACATATAAATTTCATGTTATACTATAAACTACATATGAATATCATAAAGTAGAACACAAGCGTTTAGCCGTAAGTATGATTTTAGATGTATTGGATATGGTAATGTTATTTTTGAAATTTAATGCCCTAAACTGATGGGAAAACTCCAAATTTAATGCCCAACCAGTGTTGGCAACTTTTGTAATTTTTCAAAAAAGAAAAAGGAATTACTTTTATTCGGTGCACTCCAAACACGTGGCTTAGTCATTCTTACTTCAAAAGGGCATCCAGGCCAAAACTCATGCTTCCATATTCTTTTTGAAAACAAAATAATTATAAATTCACCAATCAGATAAAATAACCATGAGATTGTTGGGCCAGCGACGACGTGATAGATGGATGCCTCCTCCGGCAAGTGATAAATTCAGGCCATTGGAAACTCGAGCCCATCACCCAAAACAAAGCACCGTAGTTTGGATTACTTGATACGCACATTTCATTTTGATAATACCCACGTTCATAATAGTTGTAAGGATAAACTATGTATCTACTCATCTCACTATTTTCATACTTTTATTTTGGTCACTCAACTATTATTTTTTTCAAAACCAGACCTAAAATTACGTTTTAATCACTCACATTTAAAAAATTAACTATAACGATATGTAATCATAAGGTAATGTCACATCATCATTGAAAAAATAAGAAATATTCACCTCAACAGTTCTATTTATTTTTTTTAACAACAAGTGATCAAAACGAAACAAAAATGTAATTTTATGTATGATCTTGAGAAACAAATAGCCGGGTGATTAGAAAGAAATTGCAAAAAAAGTATTATACTCTTTGTTTTCTTTAAGTTCTTATCGACTTTTAGATATTTTTGATTTTTGATTTTTTTGTATTAATTTAAAATTATATTTTAATAAAATAGTTTTATTTTATGATTTTTGAACATTATCTGTAATAAATTTAAAGATTTTCCATAAGATTTTTTTAAAAAGTATTTTTCAAATAAATAAAACATAATTATTAATTTTTATATAGTATTTTAAGTTATTTTAACTATTTAAAGTATAAAATGTTTATTTTTATATTATAAAAAATAAAATTAAACAAAATACTTATCTTGTAATATTCAATATTAAAGTTTAAATTTAATAAAAAAATCTATGAAAGTGACAATTTGATAAAATAAATACTAAGAACAAAACAAAAGTATGGCTATAAATTATTTTTCCAAAATTTTCTCATACCAAATAATAAAAATAAACATTTTATACTTTGGGTGGAGCTTTCAACAGGGTTGGTTGCTAGCTCGCATTATATTTTGGGTGGAGCTTTAAGATCAATGGACAAGCTCAGGCTCTTGACCTATCGTCCCTGCCTTCAATTCCCGGACCATCGAGAAAGTATACAACCTCAACAGTTGGTGTCTCGGTTTCATCAGTTGTTATCGTCGTAATTGTTATTTCCATTTCAATTCATATCATTGTCAAAACCAAGAACGCTGATGTGATTGAAGATTGGGAGCTGGAGATTGGACCATGAAGATACTCTTACCAATAACTCAAGCAAGCAACCAACGGTTTCAGTGACAAATCTTTACTCGGACAGGGTGGTTTCGGTCGAGTTTACAAAGGAACACTTCGAAATTCAAACACTCGAGTTGCTGTCAAGCTAGTTGCCAACGAATCAAATCAGGGATTACATGACTTTGTTTCGGAAATCTCTAGTATTGGACGGCTTCGACATTGGAACTTGGTGCAGGAGGAGAGGTG